TTTGTTGCACTTTGGCCGGGGCCAGGTTTGAACCCACCACCCTCGGTATATGGGGCTGGGGCCCTACCCACTGAGCCACAGGTGCCGCCCGACCATACTTTCTTTTGAGACAGTCTCACTATGTTGCCTTCAGTAGAGTGCTATGAAATCACAGCTCACAGCAACCTCCAACTCTTAGGTTTACACAATTCTCTTGCCTCAGCTTCCCAAGTAGCTGGAAACACAGGTACCCACCACAACACCCAGTATTTTTTTATTGCTGTTGTCATTGTTTAGCTGGCCAAGGCCAGGTTCAAACCTGCCAGCCCACTATATGTGGCTGGCGCCCTGGCCACTGAACCATGTACAGATGCCAAGCCAAGAAGACCATATTTTAGATTAATTTGCAGGACTATTTTGGTTTGTTTTTTTTTAAAGTCCCCCTCCCTTTTTTCCTTCAATGTGGTCCTTGAGCATCAATCAGTGGTTGATGATTGTGTCTACCCAGTCTTTTATTTCATTTATTTTCACTGCTAAATAAAGAAATCCACCTTTACCTGAGTGATTCAAAATCATGATTTTCCTACGAGCTGTTCTAAACTTGGCTTTGCCAAAAGACGTCCTTACACCTAAAATAAGGCTAGCTTCATCTGTAGTTAATAGTTAGGTCTGAGCCACTATACCCAACTTCGTAGAAAGTCAAAAATACATTAGGTATGTACTCAAAAGACAAGTTAAAAGTAGTAAAACTTAGTCTGAACTATGTAACACTTTAAAGTCTATTTTCAGATACATATTGTATAAAACATTCACTAAGAATTTGTGCAAAAATTGCCTTTAAACATATTGTTCTGTACTTCATAATGTGTTCGTTCTTTAAAACTACAATCATCAAAAAAGTAGTCTTAATACTTAAAAGAGTCATCCAACACAGCACAATGCACAATTGCAAAGATGTAATCAACTTAAGTGTCCATCAATTGAGGATCAGATAAAGAAAATATGGTTATGTACACTACAGAACACGATTTAGCCATAAAAAAGAATTAAACAATGTCTTTGCAGCAATCTGAATGGAACCTGGAGGCCATTATCCTAAGCCAAGTAGTAATGCAGGAAGGAAAGCCAAACACATGTTCTCACAAGTGCAAGCTAAGTTACAGGTATGCAGAAGCTTATAGTGTTGTACACAGGACCCTGGAGACAGGGTCCCTCAGAAAAGGGAAGGCTAGGAGGGTGAAAGAAGAAAAATTACCTATTAGGTGCACTAAAAACCCAGACATCACCACTATACAATTCATCCATGTACCCTAAACCTACTTGTACCCTAAATCTATTGAAATAGATTTTTTTAAATGTTATTAAGACTTAAAAATGAAATCATAACCATATACATTGTATTTGAGAAGTACAGAGTTCTGAACATCGTGTATGGCACACAGAAAATGCTAAAAATTACTAGCCGCACTGAGTATATAGTTAACTACTAAGAGTTTAGCATAGAACTCAGAGTCATATGTATTTCATTTTCCTATCTAGTACTGGCTGCACTTTTACTAAGCCTTTATCAACAATGCAATATACAGGGTCGGCGCCTGTGGCTCAAGTGGCTAAGGCGCCAGCCACATACACCTAAGCTGGTGGGTTCAAATCCAGCCCGGCCCGCCAAACAATGATGGCTGCAACCAAAAAATAGCCAGGCGTTATGGCGGGCGCCTGTGGTCCCAGCTACTTGGGAGGCTGAGGCAGGAGACTGGCTTGAGCCCAGGAGTTGGAGGTTGCTGTGAGCTGTGAGGCCATGGTACTCTACCCAGGGGGATAGCTTGAGGCTCTGTCTCAAAAAAAACAAAACAATGCAATATACAGTACATTGGTGTAAGTACTAAAATACGGCAATAGTCTAGACTTCCAATTTATTGATGACCTAGTAAAATCAATGACCCACTGTATGATGTCCCTTGGAAAATACATCAACTGACTTTCAAAATATTATGTTTTTAGACCTAACTCACACATACATTTGCAAAACAAGTACAGAGAAACTGTATTTCAGACCCAAAATTTGCCCATCATACCTATGTATTAATCGTAAATTGTCTATTTTTCTGAAAAAACTTTGGAAATTATGCATTCCTTTTCATCATGAAAATAAAAAATTATTTGTAAGGCCGGGCGCAGTGGCTCATACCTGTAATCCTAGCACTCTGGGAGGCAGAGGCAGGTGTATTACGTTAGCTCAGTAGTTTGAGACCAGCCTAAGCAAGAGCGAGACCCAGTGTGGCAGGCGCCTGTAGTCCCAGCTACTTGAGAGTTTGAGGGTGCTGTGAGCTTATTATGCACTCTACCAAAGGCACCAAAATGAGACTCTGCCTCCAAAAAAAAAAAAAAAAAACCTAAAAAACATTTTTTTTTGACGTAGAATGCATCCTCCTATTTATCTTTGGCTAACTGTAAAATCAGTTTTTCAAGTCAAACACTGACACAGACAGTAGGAAGATCCCCAGAATTCACACTCTGCCTGACAAACCAACATATAACCAAAAGTTTATTTTTTTGAGACAGAATCTCACTCTGTTGCCCTGGTGACACAGTGCTGTGATGTCATCATAGCTCACAGCAACTTCAAACTATTGGACTTAAGTAATCTTTTCACCTCAGCCTCTAAGTAGCTGAGATTACCTGTGTCTTCCACAATGCCTGGCTAATTTTCCTAATTAATTTTTCTATTTTTAGCAGAGCTGCGGTCTCACACTTGCTCAGGATGGTCTAGAACTCCTAAGCTTAAGCAATCCTCCTACCTCAACCTCTCAGAGTGTTAGGATTATAGGTGTGAGCTACTGTGCCTGGCCAGTATATACTAATTTATAACATCAGCATTTAGTTTAACCTCAATAATTAGCTCAAAGCGTACTTGGCATATTATATTTGCATATAAAAATAACAGGCAATGTCTTCTCACCAAGTCATTAACTACAAAATTCTACTTGTTCCTACAACCAATGTTCACCTTCTATCATTCCTCTCAAATAGTCTATCTAGCAGGTCAGTAAGAAAGGTAGGAAAGTGTAGCATAATTTATTTGACTGAACAAGGGGTAAGAAACCCGTAAGAAAAAGATGGGATATTTATTAACTATGAGCCTTAAAAGGGCAACTCTTACTGGCTAAAACAACAATATTAACATTGAAAATTTTGAAATGAACAAGATCTAGTCACTAGGTTTGGCCAACTTTAAAAAAGAAAAGAGATTGTCATACCTTTGCTTCATAAAGAAGAGGCCCATGAAAGCACAGTACTCGCTCACCTGTAAAAGTAAAAAAGAAATAGATTAATAGTAACTTCTCTTCATATAGTCCCATCTGAGACAACCATCACAATTATTCTTCCAAAACTAGGAAAAATGGTAAGACTAGATTATATACAGTGGGCAACACTTTGGATCAAAGTTGGACCATATCCTACAATAAAAACACCGTAACTATCTGATGTAAACAAGAAAAAAACAATTTCTGGGAATGTCAATTTATTTACCCGTAAATCATCAAATCATCTATCATCTACTAAGCAAGCAAATAAAACTGCAGGTACCTATTGTGGTTGGTTAGTTTTAACTGTGTGAATACAATCTTTAAAAAATGCTTTTCCACATGTGGTTTTCTAAATTTAGGACCTTACCCTCTACCTATTATCTCCATTTCCAAACCCGAGTGAATTTTTTTTTTTTTTTTGCAGTTTTGGCAGGGGCCAGGCTTGAACCTGCAGCCACCCCACCCCCGACCGCCACCCCACCTCCGACTTCCGTATGTGGGGCCAGCGCCCTACTCCTTGAGCCACAGGCACCCCCTCAAAATATTCTAAACTTTAAAATTTCAATTGCATCAAAGATAGGGTGGATCGTCTTTTAAGGGGTCCCAGTATGCTCACTCCTCAAATGTGTTCAATGACATTCTAGGTGTGGGCTGCTTCTATGAACAAAAAAAAAATAGTAACAAAAAAATCCTGAGCAGCGCCTGTGTCTCAAAGGAGTAGGGCATTGGCCCCATATGCCAGAGGTGGCAGGTTCAAAACCAGCCCCAGCCAAAAACTGCAAAAAAAAAAAAAAAAAAAATCCTAACACACTTGTTGAGCTTACATTAAGACCTACAAGACTAGGTGGGGGTTCCAGACAGGGTGAGGAGAGATGACAGCTTTTCCTTGTTTTATTTCTCCCTAAACTCACCAAATAAATGTCTCCAGGTGTTGGTGAGGAAAAAAAAGACTTGCAAAACTAAACAAAACGTCAGAGGCCATATTAAATCTTCAAAGCCATCTCTGCTCATCAGGCAGAATTTTCAGCAAAACCTCAGATTTTACTTGATTACAGCAGAAATATATTTCCCACACGTTTTCAGCCCACTTGGCTTCAACAGACCCAGAGGCAAGAATCCAATAGACCATCAGTTCTTTTTTAGCTCTAAAACTGAAATAGCCTACTGAATAATATGGGTTTCACCATGTTTCAAATTATTGCTTTTAAGAGTTCTCCAAACTGCTCACAACTTAACAAACCTTCAACCTGAAATACAGTAGTCATTCCATAGCCAATCTGCGTATTTTCAGCTATCTTTCATATGCCTATGATAAGCACTGTCAGATTATACAGAACACTGATAAGTAAATAATTGGTAACAATTTCCTGGATTTCACATTGCAAATATCTTAGTAAACAATAAGGAGAGTGACTGATGACGTACTTTGGAAAAGTTACAGGAATGGATTCAGACAGGGAAATTTGTACAAAAGCACAGAAGTAGGTGATTTAAGGTAACAGTATCAGAGAACCCTTCTTTTAACAGTCCATGGGTTGGAACTAAAATGGGAAAAGTATTCTAGTAATAAACAGCAGTACCAAGATCAGACCAGTGTTTCCCGGTACATTTTATTTTTATTATTATTTTTTTTTTTTTTATTGAATGGTAACTATGTACATTAATGCACTTCTGGGGTACAGTGTGGGGTTTTCACACACAATCCCAAACACTTCCATCAAACTGGTTAACTAAGCCTTCATGTCATTTTCTTATTGTTTTAAAACGTTCACATTCTACTCTTAGAAAGATTCACTTGTGCCCTTATAAGATAAACCTCAGAAGTGAACCCTCCAATCCCCCTCCCTCCACCCATTCCGCCTATTCTTAGGCTGTTATTAGGTTATAGCTTCCAGGTACATTTTAAAGGAACTCTGAAAAATGACCTACTATTTTTTTCCTACTGTTGCCAACTTGATTGCATTGAAACTGAGGTCCTCTAACTTGCATTCTAGCTATATGGCCCTAGGATTCTATGGAAAAAACATACAGCTCAGGAGTATGACCAAGGATAATAAATGTCTATTTTTCAGAAAGGCATAAATACTAATAACTGGGAAAACAGCAAACCACCATATTAGATATGGTTCTATATGCTTCTCTCCACCCTTAATCCATTGTAGCATCAAACTACAGAAGTAAATCTGCCCAAAGCTCTCAAACTCAAGGTTAATTGAAATCTCAATTACCCATTCTCCCAAATCAAAGAGAAGCATCAGCCAATCTCTTAATTCCTGGCAAGACATTAAAAAGGGGTCTCCCCTCAACAATGAGTTAGCTGTACAACAATATTCTTTTTTTTTTTTTTTGCAATTTTTGGCCCGGGCTGGGTTTTAACCCACCACTTCTGGGATATTGGGCAGGCGCCCTACTCCTTTCAGCCACAGGCACCGCCCAACAACAATATTCTTTATCCTATGCTTTAATAACTTCAAACAGAAGATAAAGTGGAGTGCAAAGCAGTCACTGTGCTTAAAAACCTGCTTTTAGAACATATATTTTACCATTATTAAATGAAAAAACTTTGGGGTTTACAGGAATCGTGGGGAGAAGGCAGACATCGCTTTCTGAGAACTTATGTTTCTACTGTAACATATGCAGTGTTTCAAGATAGTTCTGCCAGCACTAAATACTCCTTTTTACCTTACAAGGTATGCTCTGAACATCATTAACAACTAAAACCGGCGGGGCAAGGCAGCTTATGCCTGTAATCCTAGCACTCTAAAAAGCTGAGGTAGGTAGAGCTCAGGAGTTTGAGACTACTCTGAGCAAGAGACCATCTCTAAAAAATAGCCAGGCATTGTAGTAGGCACCTGTAGACCTAGCTACTCAGAAGGCTAAGGCAAGAGAATCACGTGAACCCAAGAATTTGAGGTGGCTATGAGCTATGACTCCACAGCACTTTGCCAAGGGTGACAAAGACTTTGTCTCAAAAAAAGGAGAAAAAAATACTAAAAAAATTGTTTTTTTAAGAAGGTGGTTATACAACTTAGTTCTGTAACTTGAACAGAGAACACACCTGAAAAGCAATGGTAAGTGCACTCTCTTAAATAGCTTTCAAAAACCTTACCTAGGGGCACTTTGGTTCCTACAGGTCTTCAATTACACCACTATACCAGCAAACAAATTATTCTTTGCTATCATCTTCCTTACTTTACCATCCCACTATAGTTTATAGCTAAAGCCCTTATTCCCTATGGGTAGAAACAGTCAAGGTTCCTTTTTGAACTTTGACAGTCTGAAGAAAGTTTTGAGCATTTGGCTTCACTGGTCAACATAAGGAACTAGGCCTACTATACTGATTTGTACATAAGTCTATGAAAATTAGGGAGATGGTCTTAAGGGAAGTGGTCAACTATGGTAGTACATAAGAAAGAGTATTACAAAGGAAACCAACTGTATTAAAAGTTATCAAAATATCTTAAATGTCATGTTCCACAAAAGAGCTCCTTCTTCAAGGTATTAAACAAGACTTAGCCACTGATCCAGTAACTGCCCTAATTTTGAAGTAGCACAAGTGACAGACGAATATACCCTTCACAACTAGGTGGTAATTGAATTTATCTTCCACAATGGAAACACTGAAATACAAAAATTCACTATAAATACTACTGTGGATTTTTTTTCTGGGGAGAGGGGATACATTGGTAACTGAAATGCTAAATTTCAGTTTATCAAGAAAAAACATTTTTTCCCAATTCCAAATTTACAGAATCTCTGAATTACAGAGATTCTACTGTCTCTGTACTATCAATACCTGCTCTAAATACTTAGTAAGATAATGAATTCACAGGAAGTACAGTAACAGCTTCTCAAGTCTAGGGATTACCAGTCATTCATTACCAAAAACACCCCAAAAACTCCTTAAATATTCCAGAAAGTTAAAATATGCTGTTCTTGGGTTTGGAGTTTATGATTCTAAAAGTTAATTCTAACATTAAAGTCTAAAAAATGCTTAAAACCACAAGAAACTTAACGCAAACATCTAGATACGTATCTTGGTAACTAAGGCATACATCCGTATCAATGCAAGAAAGAGAATTGTTATAGTGTTCCTCCTTGTCTAGTTTTACTTTCTTTATAGTTTACTATTAGACCTCCACCTTAATATATGCGGTAAAATATTAACAGATGGGTTAATTATGAAAATTGAAAAAGCTGTCCTTCTACTGAAAGTCAGATTCTAACATCAGCCAAAACTCACGCCGATCAAAAGCCAATTATTAAAAAACTTTTTAATTAATTTTTTTTTCCAAAAGGACAGAGTCTCACTCTGTCGCCCTCGGTAGATTGCTCTGACGTTATACAACTCACAACAACCTCTAAATCCTGGGCTTAGGCGATTCTCCTGCCTCAGCCTCCCGAGTAGCTGGGACTACAGACACCCGGCACAACGCCCGGCGAGTTTCTGCCGCAGTTTGGCCGGGGCCAGGTTTGAACTCGCCATCCTCAGCATATGGGGCCTGCGCCCTACTCACTGAGCCACAGGCGCCGCCTAAAAAACTTTAAAACTTCGTTGATCAAATTGTGCAACTAGTCAAACAATCACTGTTCTCTTAAAAACGACGTTAACATAATGCGACTTGTAAATGCACAAACCATATAACGGTGCATTTCAATGTACTTTTTACGAGCAATTGCACAGCGAGACCGCACTCAAGAGTAAGCGCACGGTCTTGGCATAGCGATCCGCGGAGAGCAAAGTGATGCCTCCAGGCAACACAAAGCTCAGAAAAAGGCTCATCTCGCACCTCTTTCCTTTCCGTCCCCACCCACCAAGCTGAGTTAAGCCCGAGGCGCCGGCGCCAGCGCAGCCCTCGGGAAGGAGGCGCTACGTCGGCCCCGGAGCTGCGACACCGACGGCCATGATGGCGCTGCCATCTTGCAGCGGCCATTTTATAACGCAGTTCTCCCGCCCCGGAGCGGGAAGCCCATCCCCCCCTCCCCCGGAGCTTGGCGTCTCCAACAAATGCGACCACCCTGGGCCTACCGGCAGCCCCGGACCACCAGCCGTTAGCGCTCAAGCATCCTGGCGCCGTGGCGGGCGCCCGAAGAGGCCGCCGCCCCGCCCCTCCCCCACGCCACATCACTTCCCCTAGCGGCCGCCATGGCGTGCCCGCTGCCTCCCTACAATAGGCTGCTTTCTCCGGGCCTCTTCCTCAGAACAATAACAAACACTCGACGAAGGCTTTGCCACGCGCCCAGCGTTCCCTTTCCCACTCTAACGACCGGGTGCCATTTTCGCTTCACAAAGCGTTTCCTCTTAGTGACGCGCCGGAATTACCCTCCGCAATGCGCTTTCCCCGCACAAAGCACCGCCAGCCGCCTTCTCTGGGCGGCAACCCGCGCCGCCTCCGACCCTCCAACCTCATCCACCCCGAGCCCGCCTCCCTCCCCTGCGCCGTTAGGTGCCTTTTTCCCAAGGGCGCAGACTCACCCTCCTGGAATTTAGGCTTCGGGTCCTGCTTCGGCGCCATTTATAAGTGATTCGCCGCCTCCTCCTTCTCCCACCACCCCCGACTACCGCCCCCTACTCTCTACCCCACCCAACTCCGCGTCAGACGTGCCGTCAAGAACCGCCAGCTCTACATCCCGGGCCCGATTTGCCAGCGCCGGTATACCTCACTGCGCCGCGACTCGCGTAGCCCTGGCTGCAGCCAACAGCTGCCCGCCGTGCACGCCGCCTGCGCCCGCGCCGCCGCGAGGCACGCCGGGATCGGTAGTTCCCGGGTGGATTGAGGCGCAGCCGGCTGGAGGAGGGGCTGGTGGGCCCTCCGTTCCCATCCCCCACCCTAGATTCCTCTTCCTAGTGATTCCCCCCAATTGTCCAAGCCCAGATTCGATCTTGTGTGTAATTAGAACGGAGCTGGCGGGGGAGGGGGCCGCTGAGTTGTGGCGGGGTGTGGGGGCGTTGAACCTCCGGGGATAAAAAGAAGGGGAAAGGGCCAGGTGTGGAGTCCTGAGGGCAAGATGAGGCCAGATAGCTGCCCAAGTGACTGGAGAGATTAGCCCTGCCTCTGAAGCCTGCGTTCAGTAGCATTTCCAGAAGTGACTGCGTGAAAGAGCTTTAAGGGCCGCAGCTGACCACACAGGGTCCGCGTGTGGAAGCTTCCTTGTTTAGCAATCACGACGCCAAGCTGCTGTGGCGGGACCGATGGCCATTTGCTTGCTCCTGCTTCCACTCACCCCTTTCCCAGACCCGACCCTGTGGGAATCCAGGGAAGACGGAGCGGGAAACTGCAGGCCGGCTTTGGCTTTTTGAGATGATGGACGTGTGCCTTCTGTAAGAGGCTAACGTAATACCAAGTCGGGATTGTGTACTTGCCCTGTTTGTGCTCCTTTTTGGTCATTTAATTTCTTTAAACTAGTATTGAATGTACACACAATCAAAACGAACGGATTTCTTCATGCTGTTCCCTGTTCAAAAACGCCTTAGTTTGCAAAAATAGCATCTTTTCCATCCGTTTATTGTGAGAATTACTGTAAAGGCGTAGTGTGGTGCCCAACGGTGAATAAGCGCTCAACAAACGTCAACTCGAAGATAAATCCTCATTCCTTAGCCTGGTATTTAACTCCTTCCACAAACAGTCCCCAACCTACCTTCAGGCCCTACACAAACCTTTTCTTCCCGACTTTTCCAAGCCCTGCTCTGAATGCGCATTACACTGCACCATCAGACCACTTCCATTTCTCCTTCAGTCCTAATTTTAACGCAACCCCTTCCTTGACAACAAAACCCAGAAAGAACCTTCCTTATTCCTGTTTAATATGTGTCATCTTATCTCTGCTACTCCATAGAGTGTTGAAGAAAAGGACAAAGGCTTCTTTGGGAACTTGTCCAACTAAAACTGCCTTGTACGCTTTTTAAAAATGTTTTTGAATGTAAAATACTTATATACTTTTTTAATTTAAAAAATTTTAAATAAAATTTAAAACCAAACTAGTGAAAGCCTTTTTCCTACCTCCCTCTGTCAGCTGCACAGTTTCCCCCACAACGGTAACCATTTTTACAGTTCTTTGGGTATCCTCGGGAACTTTCTTCATGCTAGCACTTTCTTTGTGGTATTTCCATATTTATATTAAAGACAATTTTTTACTTTTATGTTGTTGTTTTGTTTTGTTTTTGTAAAGAGTCTTGGCTCGGCGCCTATAGCTCAA